GACACCGGGTATTGGCCTTCATCAAGCATCACAACCACCACATGTGTACTCCATGCGGACGGACACTCCGCCTCCTGGGATGCCACCATCGCAACATGCACAGGTGTGTGTGTGTGTGTGTGTGTGTGTGTGTGTGTGTGTGTGTGTGTGTGTGTGTGTGTGTGTGTGTGTGTGTGCCTGCTTGTTTGGCGACGAGATGCTCATCCAAGCATCCAGTTGTGGCCGTTTGTGCACTCATGCTGTTTCGCACATTTCCTATGCATTGTTACTCTTGCGCGCTATCACGTGCCTGCCAGAGGTGATGTGCCCGACGCTGACGCTGGAATACGGCAGCGTGTCTGGGTCCTGCTCTGGCACCGTCGGTAAGAAAGGGATGGGGAGGCTTGGCTGCCATGTGGATATGATGATGTAGAAGGCACGGCCTTATCTTCTATCCTGAGTTGCTGCTCGAGACCTTGTCTCATGTGAAACGTTGTTGGTGTTGCTGGTTTTTCCCCGTCAGGCGACGTCTGTGTCTACGATAGCTGTGATGACGGCTTTGTGTTTGGCATTGGCGGCAGCTCGTCACGCACATGCATTCAAGACGAAGACACGGCATACTGGGACGGCGACGAGAAGACCTGTTTGGGTACGCAGCAGTCACTGTATGCATTTGAGTGTGTGTGTGTGCGTGCGTGTGTGTGCGCGCGTGTGTGTTGTTGAGTTGTCACACCGCTCACACACATTCACACACACACACACATTCACACACTCTCTCGCCCCCCTCCTTCTCTGGTACAGAAACGATTGAGGGTGATGGAGGAACCAATTTCACCATTGCCTGTGCTGCCGGTCAGGCCATCACTGGCCTCTACTACACCTCCGGTGAGCCCTGCGGTTGCGGTTATATCTCATCGTTTGCAGCACTACACGTTGGCACTTATCCGTATTTAGTTTCGCACTTATCAATCTCATGCGTATGAGCATCTGCCATTACCGTTGTCGTTGTCACTGCTGGTGGCGCTATCATGCCCTCACCATTGTTGCTTGCCTGCAGGCACAGACACGTACGAGATTCTGTGCCAAGACGCGGGAGCGTCTCTTTCCAAGCGCATCTACGCATCCGCAGAGACACTAACCGTGAGCGGCAACACGGCCCAGTACTGCGATTTCGACACCTATGGTGCGTCGTTCGTGTGTACACGCGTGTGCGTTGTGTTGTGTGCGTGTGTCGGTGCTTGTGAAAGTGTGTGCGTGTGTGTATTTGATTGAGCCAAGGACAACAGCCACTGCTTTGTGATGGCTTTGCAAATCATGCACAATTCATCCCATCTGAGACATGAACATGTGCTGTACCCCGACCCTCAATCTTAGCCGTTAGCGGCGTCTCCAAGAAGGGGTCAACCCTCGTGTATGATTGCTCGCTGTTGGCTGGCGCAGAGCTTGTTGACTGCACACTTGGTGATACACTTTCCGGCAGTTACAGCATCCTGGCATCCGAGGGCTCAGTCTTTGCAGGTCAGTGTTATGCTCACGTGCATGTGTGTGTGTGTGCGTGCGTGCGTAGCGTTGCTGTGATACGTCTGTTTTCAGATTGTGATCACAGCCCTTCTCTGCTTCGACACCCAACGTTGGCGTGTTGTGCTCATCAGGGCGTTTCTTTCAACGTGACACAACTTCCAGGCATTTACAACACGGGTTCATCTTCTCCCCAAGTCCGCGTGTGCGACGTATGTCTTGCCTTTGTTTGGACCTGTGTGTGTGTGTGTGTGTGTGTGTGTGTGTGTGTGTGTCTGTCTGTGTGTGTCCGTCTGTGTTTGTGTATGTGAGCAATGATGGCATGAACTGCGTCGAGTCGCGTGGCATACGCGTCTGCCAAGAACGTACTCGTTTTTTCTTTTTTGTCATCTGTTCTGATTTCCATTCTGGTCGTGTTGTGTCTGAACACTGGCAGGTCCGCTGTCGCGAGGAGGATGGCTTCTACTCCGCTGGAGGAACCAAGTGCAGGCGTGAGTTGAAACATACAATGTGAATCAATGTGACGAGATAAGGAAGGAGAAGGGGCAGTTGTAGTTCATGGTGACCCGCAAACATTTCACACATCACCCCCAATCTCAACCGTATTGCTTGGCCACCACCCCGTCTACAGAACTGTCCTGCGGTGCTCTAACGCTGACAAATGGCGCGACATCTGGCACGTGCTCTGGCGCTAAAGGTATGAGCGCGTGCGTGTGTGCGTGTGCGTCTATGCGTGCGTGCATGGCCGATTTTGTATCTCTGTAATCGTCAATGCTGTTCACTGCAACTTCCTTTTGTGTGTGTGCATGTGTGTGAGGAGGGAACGTGACATGCACACGTTAGAGTCACACACCCAAACGCACACATAAACGCACAGGTGACACGTGCACGTACGAGAGCTGCAACTATGGGTATGAGCTGTCCGCCTCTGGCGACACGTCCCGCACATGCTCCATCACCAACGGCCGAGCAGAGTGGTCTGGCGTCGCAAAGACCTGCCAACGTGAGTTGAGGACTGTTGACAATGTTCTTTTATTGTTGTTGTCTCATCCGCCCGATCCTGCAGCATGTTGTAATGTTCTTGTGACCAGCATTCCTACATGCATGGTGACTGCATCATATCATATCACAACCTCAGCGCAGTTCATGTGCGGGCGTGTCACGTGTTTCACTTCTGTTGCGTCAGTCTCACACGTCTTGCCATCTTGCCGTGTTTCTTTCCTCGACCTCCAGCCATCTCCACGACTGGATCACCCACAACCGTCAACGCGTGTGAAGGCCTGAGCCGTTCCCTCAATCCGGCCACGTGCCGCGAACGTTGTGAGCGTAACAACGAGGACTCGACTTTCATGGCCACCTACGGCGGCTGCACGCGGGTGAGGTTTCACGCACACGCAAAGTGCACACTTTCATGTGCATTCACGTACATTCACGCGCATTCATGTCGCATGCAGCGGTAACACAGAAGAGAAGAAGCTGGTGTGCAGGCCATGCGTCCCACGCCACAGCATTGCTGCAAATGTACACATGCTGCTTACACCGTCCAATCTGCACGTGCAACGCGTGTGCATATAACTTGGTCAATTGCAGGTGTGCACGTGCGGGTGCAGGAAACGCTTCGAGATTACTCAAGAAGAGGATGACTGTTCAGCGCATTGTGCATCACAAGGACTGGACGCCTCTTTCTTCGAGGAGCACGAGGGCTGCCGCAATGTACGTCACGTGTTGTGTGCGTGTGTATGTGGGTGGGTGTGGGTTTGAATGTGTAATGTTGTGCGTGTGCATGTGTGTATGCTTGATGTGATCTTGTGTGTGGCCATGACTGTGCGGGTACACCGACGGCCAGGATCAGACCACAAGCACCGTGACAACTGCAGCCCTTAAAGCATCCTCTCATTTCACCACAAAACACACATGTACACACATATGTACACACACGCGCGCGCATACGCGCACACACTCACACTCACACGCACAATGTTTGCAGGTGTGCCTGTGCTTTGAGGCAAGCACCCGCTCAACCGCTACCGCTGTGACGACGACGACGGAAGTCACGTTCACCACACAGGCGACCGGCACTGTGGAAACCATCGCCGGCAACGGCCTGGTGGACTGGACGGGGTCGAGTGACCCCACAGCAACAGGCCTCAACCAGGCCGAGTGCGTTGCCGTGGACGTGACGGGCGCCACGTACATTGCCATCCGCCACCGCGTCGTGAGCATCTCGCGTGACGGCAGCACCATCACCACCATCGCCGGCACCAAGACCCGCGGGTCCACTGGCGTTGGCGGCCTGGCCACAGCTGCGCAGCTGGACCGCCCCACGTGCGTGGCCGTCGACACCATGGGCAACGTGTACATCTCGGAGAAGGGCAACCACCGTGTCAGCGTCGTGGACGCAAGCACGGGCGTCCTGTCTGTGTTTGTCGGCACGGGCGAGGCCGGCCATCGTGGCATGGGCGGCTCAAGTCGCGCGGCGCAGATCCACTCCCCGCACGGCCTTGCGTTCGACAGCCGCGGCACGCTGTACATCGCCGACACGGAGAACCATGTTGTGTACGGTGTGGACCGACGCTCTGTTGTGATTGACGTCGTTGCTGGCACGCCCTTCCGCAAAGGATACCACGGTGACGGCCGCCCAGCCACAACCGCGTGGCTCAACGCGCCCACAGGCATTGCTGTTCGCGGCGCCGGTGATTTGTACATAGCTGACAAGGGCAACAACCGCATCCGCTACGTTGATCTGGACAGCTACAAAATCATCGACACACTGGTTGGCACGGGCCGGTACGGCGGTGATGTGGACGGCAGCACGACCACTGCTGCGCTTGAGACGAATCTGGACCACCCTGAAGGCGTTGCTGTCAATGCAAAGGGCACCATGCTGGTCATTGCAGACACAAACAAGCACGTGCTGCGGTCTGTGAGCTTGGACGGCGGTGATTCTCCGGTGACCGTGCTTGCAGGCACGGGCAGTCGAGGCTTCAACGGCGATGGCAATGAACCAAACGCCACAAACCTTCACTCACCTGTCAGCGTCGCCTACGACATTGGCGAACGCGCAATTGTGTTTGTGGACCAGCAGAACCGCCGCATTCGACGCGTGCACCTTTGATGGCGACGTGGAATGATGGAATGATGAGGCGACCTCTGGCAACATCATCTTGTTGTCTGTGTGATGTTTTGTGTGTGAATATGTATGTGTTGTGTTGTGTGCATGTGTATGTGTGTGCTGCGTGTCCGTGCGTGCGTGTGTGTGGGTGTGTGGGTGTGTGGGTGTGTGGGTGTGTGGGTGTGTATGTGTGCGTTGTGTGCGTGCGTGTGTGCATACTCACGCGTCCGTGCGTGCTTCGATATTTGCGTTTGCCATGGTCGGCACGTCGCAGTGTGCAACTGACATCTTGCGCACGCTAATGCACTCTGATTTAATGCAACTACAACTGATACATGGTCGTACACGAGCACGCAAAAGAATATGCAGTGGTCCCACACACGATCATTTGGGACACGAGAGTAACAGTGCAAAAGTGCTCAATAAGACTCGTTTGCGATGGATATAGCGTGACAAGTGTGGCAGTGTCAAGTGTTCACGGGGCAGGGGATTGGCCATGAAGGTTTGGCAGGCGTTGGTATGCAGCATTTTGTACCATGCCACCCTGCGCGCAACGTATTCCAAGCCATGCAAGCGCAAGCAGCGTGAGTGACCATGTGTAGGCTTTGTTACCAACATTGCTCACCCTCACCGCACGAAGGCACAAATCATGCACCGAGTTCACCCCACTACAAACAATCATGCACACACAGACACAGACACAAACACAAACACACACACACACACAGACACACACAAACACACACAGACACACAGACACACACAGTCCAAACCTGAGTATTCGGGACAGTGCGTGGATATGGCGGTTCGTGCTGTCTGCGACGCGCGGGGGTCTCAGCGTACAGCGTGGTCGCAGCTGGCGTGTTGGGCTCCAGGCGTGGGTATGTCACTGTACCACCAGACCCGCTGTCAGCGTCGTTGCCATCCAGGGAAGCATCAGCAACATAGCCAGTTGCGTCCACCGCAACAGGTGCCACCTCGCGCTCCCCGAAATAGCCGGTGTGCGAACCAACATTGTCGTAGCCACCGCCACCACTACCGATGGCAGTCGACGGGGCGGGATGGTGGTGTCTGCGGCTGTCTGCACCCCGTTTCGTCTGTGTGCTTTCTGCTTGCACGAGCGCTTTGAAGCGGCCTGTGCGCAGGAAGAAGTCAATCTCGTGTGCGAGGACAGCAAAGGAGGGGCGATCCTGGCTCCCGTACGCCCAGCACAGCTGCATTACCGTGTACATCCCTTCGGGGCACATGTCCGGGCGGGGCAGCCTTACGAGCGAAAACACGTGTTTGTTTGAGACGGGAGGGGGGTAACAGCACACATATGAGCGCTCAACAACCAGGTTACTGTCGTGCATGCGTGTTGTGTGTGTGTGTGTGTGTGTGTGTGTGTGTGTGTGTGTGTGTGTGTGTGTGTGTGTGTGTGCGTTCAAATTCCCATGGCACACACCCAAAATTTCCTTCTTTCTGGCCTCACCACGTCCCATAGCGCACCTGTAGCCCGCGGCAGCGGCAGCAACAGCCTCCATGGCCGTGTATTCGGCATAAGGGGCGCGTGCAAAGGAGTACACCTCCCACGTGAGAACGCCAAACGACCACACGTCACTCCGGCTCGTGTAGATGCGGTCCGTCACCGATTCTGGCGCCTTTGGGCACAGCGGGCAGCAGGGCAGTGGTAGCAGATGGACCGGGTTAATGAGGTGAACAGGCGTGGTAATGGTAGTGGTAGTGGTTGTGGCGGTGGCGGTGGCGGTGGCGGCCACATACGCTAAGAGGAAACGTTGGGTACACAAGCACTGAGCATGAAGCACAGATTGGGTGTGAAAACGCATGCCACTGAACGTGCAGACATTCAAGTGTGGTATTGTGACACAGGCATGCAGTGCTCACCATCCACTTGATTGGCACACGGTCATCCGAACGCTTCTTGTAGTAGTCGCTCTCCTCCGTGTTGCGGGACTGATGGCACCAAGGAGTGATGGCAGTATCGGGCAGACAGTGAGTATTCGTGAATGTGACACGTGCAGTGTGGCAGGGGCAAGCCTGCGCTTTGGAATCGAGAGTCAGAACATTTTCACAGCGCATTGACATCTGCCAAACATGACATGGCTTTGGCGTTTGAGTCATACCATGCCAAAGTCTGCAATCTTGACCACGTTGTTGTCATTCACGAGCACATTCCTGCAGGGACGTGTTTAGGGAAGCGCAACGGAATGCGCCAGGCGTCCGATGTAGGTGGTGGTGCATGTAAAATGAGAACACGCCGACGGCAGGTGAAGAAGAACAAATTCGCACACACACGCACAAAAACACACACACAAACAAACAAACAAACAAACAAACATACAAACACACAACTATACATACAAACACACAAATATACAAACAAACAAACAAAACACAAACACACACACACCTTGCTGCGAGGTCACGGTGGATGACGCGTCTGCTCTCGAGATATTGCATGGCAGAGGCAATCTGCAGCACCATGCGGTTCAATTGTGCTGTCGTCAACCGTTCGCGCGGCTCCGGACGCGTTGGCCGGCAGTCGCGCAGAAACCGCTTCAAGTCGCCCTGAACAGACACACAGCGGTGGACGCAGCACAAACCCGTTAGGGAGGGGGGGCCAATGGCACGAGAATAAGCATTCACAGTACAGCCAACCAATCAGCCAAACCAACCAAACAAACCAACCAAACCACGCACCTTTGGCATAAACTCTGTGACGAGGTAAAACGGTGTGTCGCGTGTGCAGACGGCCACGAGGCGGAGGAGGTTGTCGTGTCGCAGCAGACTCATCAGCCGCGCTTCAACCAGGAACTTGGTCAGCTCGTCCTGAACAACGCCGTCAAGCAGCGTCTTGACCGCCACCGTCTGCGCCTGGCCATTGAGGGTGAGGGTGCCGCGGTATACGACGCCAAAGGCGCCCTTGCCAAGCTCGCTGCCGAGCTGCAGCCGCGTGCGATCCACCTCCAGCCGCGCAAAGTCCTCTTCCGTCTGCGCAAGATCCCCACCAATGGTCTCCGCAAACTCCTGTGAGAACATGACGCGCACTTGGTCTGCCAGCTGGTCTGCATTGAGCTTCATGTGCTGCAGCTGCAGCTCCAAGCGTTGGCCCGCCGCCCGCTGCTGCCGACGGCTGTGCAGCAGCAGCACCACCATCGCCACCGCCACGATCAGCACCACGGCAACGGCAATGCCAGCCAGCGCGCCGTTTGACACGGAGGACCCCGACGACGAGGCGGCAGCCAGCAGCGTGTGCGTCAACACGCGACTGCGCTCGCTCTCACCAGCCGGGGTGGAGGCTGTCACGGTCACGGTGTACGTGCTGCCGGGCACAAGGCCTTGCAGCAGCAACCCGGCCTCCTGCACCCGCATGCTCACCTCCGTGCCGTTGTCGATGTTGGTGAAGTAGACGGTGTAGAAGTCGATGGGGCCTGCCTCCTGGCCAGGCGCCGACCACTGCACCAGCAGCCCGTCCCCCGTCTCCCGCAGGTTGCGCAGCGACGGTGCGCCGGGCACGCCCCGCAGCGTCCTGTTCTGGGTGGACGCCTCTGCCGTCATGGGGCCCTCACCATACGCGGACACAAACGCCGCCCTGAACGCATACGTGGTGAACGGGCTCAGCCCAGCAACCCGCGCTATCAGACGGCCGCTTTCCTCGTCCACGCGTGTGGGCACGGCCCGCACCGTCTCCTGCTCCCGTGCGCCGTTGGCCCTCGTCCGCTCTGTGATCGCGTACACCACCAGCGCCCGCGGGTCACCGGGCAGCACATCCACCGCCACAGTCGCCGTCGTGTCCGTCAGCGACACAACACGCACGGCCCCTGGCTCCGCCTGCGGCGGGTTGCCAAGCGTCCGTGTTGTGACGGCGGCTGACCACGGCCCCGCCAGCACCAGCGCTGCCGCGTTGCCCGCACACACGTCCCCGAGCGCGCGCTGGCAGGCGAGCCCAGCAGTGGCACCGCTGGCAACACGCGCCCGCGCACGCACACGCACGGACACGGGCGTCTCGCGAGGCAAGCTGGGCAGACGCACGAGGGTGGTTGGGGAGATGATGCTGATGGGGGCGTTGGTGGCAGTGACGTTGGCCTGCAGTTCGTAGTCGACAGCGCCCGGCACAGGCGCCCACTCCACCACGAGGAGATCCACGCCCGCGGTTGCACCCAGAGATGTGGGGGCAGCCGGAACGCCAGCGGCGCCCGTGACGGTGGCTGACGCCTCGTGCAGCAGCTGCTGCCCACGGCGCAGACGGACTTGAAGCGCCATGGTTGGCTGGAAGGCGCCCGTGTAGGGAAAGAGCACAGACTGGCGGTGCGGTTCCGAGTAGACAGGAACAGTGCAGTGGCCGCCGTCTTGGCACGTGGCAGTGGCACAACGGCCCGCACGCAAGGAGTTGACGCTGACAGGTGTGCGCATGGTACCCGTGGCCGCATCAAACGATTCGTGCGACAGCAGGGCGGAGCTCAGGTCAAGCGCGTTGGCTGCAACGGTGATGGTCTGCTGTGTGCTGCCGTGTGTGAGCACAGCATCATACTCGTCTGTGGGCGGCTGGCCGTGCACGAACCAGCTGACATGCAGGCCCTCGCTGCTGAGACGCCACCCGAGCTGCTCCACGCGATTTGAGGCCGTGAGCGGCAGCAGTGGCGGCGGTGCTGGTCCCGTACTCGGCAGAGTTGTCGCTGTCACTACACGACCGGCAATGCGATCACTGCTGCCATCGTTGCCGTTGTCATCGTCATTGGCGAGGGTGAGGGCCCCGCACAGAGATGCAGATACACCGATGCGATATGGGGTAGCGGGCGACAGACCCGTGACCTCTGCCGTCAGCACTGTTGCGCCGGCCTCTGTGGTGGTCGCGGTGACGCTTGTGCTGAGCACTGCTGTTGGGTCGTGTGCCTGTGCAGTAGGGGCAGCGTGCACGGCAGCAGCTGGCGGTGAAGCTGTGAAGGCGAGCGGCCAGGGCGCTGTGGTTGTGGCGAATGGAACAGAGAGCTGTACACGAATGGTGGACGCTGTCACGTCAAGCACGCGCACGGCGACAGCGGCTCGAGTGGCACTGATCTCCTCATCTGATGCCGTGTCGCCCGTCACAGACACGACGGGCAGCAGGCTGCACGTGACCTGCAGGTTTGCATGCAGCGGTGCTGGGAGGAGGGGCGACGCGTCCGACGGCGCAGGGATGCGATGTGTGGCGGCGGCAATCACGCCCGTGTCGAGGAACGCGTTCGACTGCAGCAGAGCAGCCGCTGTCACGCCGCTCACAGCACGCCACTCCGCCCACGCAGGGCTGTCCGATGAGGACGATGGTGATGGTGATGGTGATGGTGATGGTGATGGTGATGGTGATGGTGATGATGATGATGGCGCGAGCCCGTACACGAGCATGATGTGTGGCAAGGCAGCGTGGTGCGATGGGTAGAGCACAAACGCGCGTGTTTCGCCCGTGTGCCAGGCGACCGGCACCCGCACCGTCTCGTACACGCCGCTCCCGCCAGCCGTAACATCAACAGCTATGGGTGACGTGAAAGGAAGTGGGCTGTCCACGACTCCCCCGGCGTAATCACCATCATCGTTGATGCATGCACTGATGGTTGCGCTCCAGGCACAGCCAATGTCAGGCGTGCAGGCTGACTCGGCAACAAACCAGCACGCGTGGGCGTTGCGGTGGTGGCACAGACGGCGGCGCTCATCGTACCTGCAGCCGCGCTGCGAACAGACGGCAGCGGGCCACGAAGCAGTGCACATGGTGCTGTTGGTGGCGCTGGTTTCAGCCTCACTGCTACTAGGGATGCTGGTGGTGGCGGCGGCGGTGTTGAGGGGACCGAGCGAATACAGCGGAGAGATGGCGATGGTGTCGAACAACATGCGGGTCTGGCACATGCGCATGGTGAAGGACGCCTGGCCTGCTCGCACGTCACTGGGCAGCACATTGACGGTGGCCACGTGGTAATGCCACCGGAGCGTGTCACTGCCGGGCTGGCATGGCACGACAACATCGACAACAGGGCCCGTGAAGCACACGGTGGCAGTGCCGTGCAGACATGTGCCGCGCACGTGGACAGCGTGGACGCCGGCAACACGCACTGGTGCTGTCACGGTCATGATCTGGGAGCGGAGGGTGATGGGTGGATTGCTCCCACCTGCTGCTGCTTCCAAGTCAGCGCGCGCGCCGACAAACCACAAATCACCACCACCACCACCACCATTGGTAGGAAGACGAGACGGGCGTGGCACGACAGGCACGGTGAGCTCTCCTGTGCTCTCGCCCGCGATGGGCACACGAAGGTCGCCTGGTCGGTGGATCTGTGCCACGACCGTCTGTGCAGCAGCAAATGCCGTCATGGGTGTGATGGTCGCGTACGAAATGCTCTCGCTGAGACCATCATCGTTGGTGTTGTCGGTGTCGTCGTCGTTGTTGTTGCTGCTGCTGTTGCTGGCAGCTGAGGCGGGGTCAAGGCCAGCGAAGAGAAGAGACGATGCTGCGCCTGCAAGGCAGAATGGCAGATGGCGCTGCTGGGCTGCTGGTGATGGCGGCGACACAAACACGGATGCAGTTGCTTCGTGGCGGGGCAGTGACGCCTCCAGTACAGCAGGTGATGAGCACGTGTCATCGTCGTCGTACACGCGGACAGTGACGTTTGCACGTGTGACGGTGACGTGCATGTGTGTGCTCGGGTCTGCGGGTACGGGCGAACACACGCCAACGGGGACATTCCAGAACACTGGCACCTGTTGGGGTTGCTGCTGTTGTCCGTTGTTGCTGATTTCGCTGCAATTGGTGCTGTTCGGGAACCAAACGACTGTGGCAGTGCGGGCGAGCGTGAGCGGGCGCAGGTTGCCTGCAAGCACGGATACGGTGACGTTGGCGGCGCTGGTTGGGAGGAGTACGCGCGGGAAGGCGGAGGACGCGAGATCCATGCGTGCATCGATGCGCACACGGGAAAAGAGGTATTGTGGCAGTGTAGCTGCAATGTTGGTCGACACGAGACGCAACAGCATGGACGGAGACGACGATGAAGATGATGCAACGGACGGCGTAAACGTGAGTGGGCCTTGCACGGCGAGGAAACCGTCAACAAACACCGACGTGTTGACGCGTACGCTGCTGTTCTGAAGCGCACCAACAGCTGCCGGCGAGAGGTTGGGCGGCAGTGCGAGCGTGATCTGTAGCAGAAGACTGCTTGGTGTTGCAACGGCGGACGTGCTGATATATCCACTGGTGTGCAGGCTGCCATCAAGGTCCGAAGCAAGGTCCAATGCTTGCGTGGTCACTTCCAGAGCTGTTCACGTCACGATTGCAGGGCCAATGGTGGGAATGAAAGTGGAGGGAGGGGGAGTAGTGTGCAGACATTAGGGATGAGGTCAAGGGGAGGGGGTGATGACACAGGGCACAAACCGGCACTTCAGAGGTACATCAGGACGATGCACAAGCATGTGCTCTATGTGTGTGTGTTGTGTCTGTGTTTGTGTGTGTGCGTGCGTGTATGTGCGTGTGTGTATGTGCGTGTGTGTGCGTGTGTGTACGTGCGTGTGTGTGTGTATGTGCGTGTGTGTGCTGACCTGCGGTATCTGCGGCGAGCACAGGGCCAATGGCATCGGGAGTTGTGAGCGATGTACGGAGCGTGGCAGCGTCGCTTCCGTCTCGGTGAACAAACGCGACCAAGGTGTTTGATGCCAGCGCCTGCGCGGTAACCTGACGCAGCTGAGCCGCAGTGACGAAGCTGCGGTCTGACTGATACGGCGCCACAGCAAAGATGGCGGTAGTTTCGTTCAGGCCGCCTGAGTGCATTGTGTTGTGTTGTGTTGTGTGCGTGTTTTGTGTGTGTTTTGTGTGTGTGTGTGTTGTGTTGTGTGCGTGTTTTGTGTGTGTGTGTGTGTGTGTGTGTGTGTGTGTGTGTGTGTGTGTGTGATGTGAGTGAGTGACGAGTGAATGAGTAAGCGAGTGTGTATGTGTATGTTTATGTGTGTATGAGTGAGTGAGTGAGCAAGCAAGCGAGTGAGTGTGAATGGTTGGAGCAAACATGTGAGCGCATTTTTGTTCGCACAAACGCGTGTGCATCTTCAATAATGTGAGCTGAAAGGAAAGCGGGGCGACCTCATTACCTGTGCATGGAAGGGAGGAGGCGAAGCAAACCGCCGACGTGCGTGTGGATGGCAGCGGCTGCAGGCGCCCGTTGTGCCAGACAATGGGTGCGGTGAGGTTGTTAAACGAGTCCGCCGGATACGAATCTACGCTGCAACAGGTATCCCCGCCGCCAGTGCTGGGATCCCGGCAAGCCTGGATGGTGCTGCCGGTGAGCCACAACGCGGTCGTGGTCCCGACTGCTGTCGCGGCGTCTTGCGAGCACGGCCAGATCAGAGGAGGAGGTGGCGTGTGCGCACCATCTTCAGCAGCGACGACAGCGACAACATCTTGCGCACTCACCCCAACAAGCGCCAACACCACCACCACCAACAACAGCAGCCTCGTTGGCGCCATCGCTGGCTTCGCTGGCGCGCTCATGTTGCGCGCACACACGCAAACCACGGTGAGTGAGTGAGGAGGGGGAAGGGGGATGAGGCTGTCAGGTGGAAGTCGAAGAGAGGAAGAGTGTGATGATGCCTCTGCCTGCTGCTTGCTGCCTGCTCACTCGCTTGTTTGTGGTCCAGCAGGCGTTTAATGTTGTGACGATTGGCCATCACACACTACAATTTTCGTCACCGCCAGCCACAGCCACACAACGCCATCCGCAAGACGAAGAGAAGCAGAGGAAGCAGAGGAAGCAGAAGCATGAGCTTGGGCCGTGTTGTTCGGGAGCTGCGCATCCACCTGTGCAGCGCAAGCCCTGCCAGCCAAGGCGCAAGGTGAGGGTGAGGGTGGGTGGGTGTGTTGATGGGGGGGGAGGTTGTGTACGTTGTGTGTGCATGTTAGAGAGTGTGTGTGCGTGAATGGATGTGTGTGCTTGTGAGTGAATGTGTGTGCTTGTGAGTGAGTGAGTGTGTGTGTGTGTCTTGGTAGTTGATGTGCACGCGTCAATGTGTGCTGTGCGTGTAATCAAGCCAGTTGTTGCTTGGTGTGATGTGTTCCCTCACCACGTGACCTCTTTGGTACTGACTCCATATACATACATGACAGGGACTTTGTCACAAAGTACTACAGCAGCTTGAAGAAGGCCAATCCTTCCCTTCCCGTGCTCGTTCGCGAATGCAACGGTGCACAAGCACAAGTACAAGCTCGCCTGCGTAAGTCATCCATACGTGCATGTGTGTGTGAAACAAACGTGTGTGTATCTTCCTGTGTATGTGCGTGTGTGTGTGCGTGTGTGACGGACACATGTCCTTCAGTGCTGCACTCTCTCCTGCTCCGCTGTTACGACCCCGATTACTTCGTGCGCACATTATCTGTGGCATCCCCGCCCCTTCTCACGCCTCCCTTGAATGATTCCATTGACAGCTTTTGGTGAGGAGAAGCACTTTGCCGTCAACGGCATGTCTGCAGAGGAGATTAAGTCAGTCATTGATGGCCTTGCCAAGTGAGCACCGCTGTTGCCCTCGTATTCTAGTCCCCCCCCCCCCCTCGGTGCCGTGCGCGAAGCGATGATGTTGATGCATGTTGCGTTTGACTGGCGTGTTGCGTGTGCATGTGTGTGCTGTGCCTGTCGTTGACGTGGCGTGTTGCGTGAGTGTTGCTGTTGTGTGTGATGTGTGATGCATGGGATGTTTGTGCCAATGTGACATTCGCACCCTCGTGCACACCCGTGTTGTTGCTGTGGAGTAAATGCTGGGCCACTTCCGCCTGTGTGCTTTTCGTATCATCATGTCATGTCAAATCGAGCGGAACAGGCAAGAAGAGGTACAAGAGGAGAGGGGGCAGCACACGCAACCACAGCAACAAGGGACAACAGTACAAGGACTTTCTCTGATACGATCGATGCACGAGAGAGAGAGAGAGAGAGTGTGTGTGTGTGTGTGTGTGTGTGTGTGTGTGTGTGTGTGGTGTGTGTGCTGTATGTGTGTGTGTGTGTGTGTGTGTGTTGTGTGTGCGTCTACTCTGGCAGCATGTCTTCATCGAGTTCAAACGAGTCCTCGCCATCATCCGCCTTCCTTGCTGCGGTCTTGGGCCGAACCGGCAGTGCACCGACGGGGTCCTTGTAGCTCGCATCTGCACACACATGCACACATGTACACACGTGAAAGCGGGAAGGGGATGTGTGAGTGAAGAGGGTAACATTCGTTTTGTGCGCGCGCGCGCGTGCGTGCGTGCATGTGCATGTGCATGTGCATGTGTGTATGTGTGTGTGTGTGTGTGTGTGTGTGTGTGTGTGTGTGTGTATGTGTGTGTGTGTGTGTGTTGGGCCACAATGCACGGTGCGAAGCATAAACAGCAACATGTCTGCACATGCGCGACCACGAGTGCGCGTCTCGACTGACCGAGCGTGTTCGTGCGGTTGAGTGATGCAGAGAAGTCTGTTGGTCCGCGCGTCGACCCGCCAAAATCAGCGGTGCCTGCCGACGACCATCGCAGCCGTGAGTGGAAGCGGAACAGAGAGTACGTGTGGATGCTCGAGGAGGAAGTTCACAGCGAGGACCAAATCCGTAGAACACAATAACATCAACATGGACACAAATAGTAGCCATCACATTCACAGCTACAAACACACAGCACGAAAGCAATCAAACAGCCACTTCCCCTCACCCCCCCCCCCTCGCACAAGCACGAGTACGAGCATCGGCAGCGCAATACCTCTGCCATCTCTGTCGTCATCACTGGACATGACACTGCGAGCACTATCGCGCCCACTTCGTCGCTCTTCGCGTGCACGGTGGCCGGACCGCTGCCGCTTCCCGCTCGCCTGTCGACTCCCGCGCCGCCCAGAGCGCCGCGCACTCCCACGACCACTCGCAGCACGCTACAGTTTGGTGTGTGTGTGTGTGTGTGTGTGTGTGTGTGTGTGTGTGTGTGTGTGTGTGTGTGTGTGTGTGTGTGTGTGTGTGTGTGTGTGTATGTATGTGTGTGTGTGTGTGTACATGAGGGTGATGGGTGGTTGGTCGTTATGTTACATGTCAACAACATGAAAGTCACAGAAGTGCGCAGACTTCAACCACCGCCACCATCATAACCACCACCATAACCCTCACCACCACCACCACCACCACCACTAGCAGCAGCAGCGTGGTACCTCGCGGCGCTCCTTGGCCTGCTCGGCCTTCTTCAGCGCAACGGCGTAGTCCTGCACCTCTGGCAGCCCCATGTCCGTGCACAGCCGGATCAGGAACTTGAGGCCTGGACATCAACGGGCAGTGGGAAGACGTAGGTTGAGAGTATTGATGGTGATGGTACGGAGGTGAGAGGATGAAGAGTAGAGACGAGAGAACGCAGCGACGCAGCCACAAGCATCAGCACGCACGTGATTGCACACGCGCATGCGCAGCAACAACAAATCTCTCTGACGCACAAATGTACTCGCACGCACACACATATACACACACACTGCCATACATGCCCACTGCAGCGTGCTCACATTCGATGTTCTCCGGGAAGAGCGTGTGGATGCGCTTGTACGTCTCGAGTGCACGCTGGTAGTTGCCTGTCTTGCGGTGGCAGCTGGCAATCATCAGCCGCCACTTCACCTCCCCGGGCCTGCACACACACACACACACACACACACACACACACACACATATGCACACATATGCACGCGTGAGGGACGTTTGGGTGAGCGTTGGAAAGGGGAATCATCATCAGCACTGAGCCCAAA